CCCCAAAACCCCAAAACCCCAAAACCCCAGGGATGAATTGTGGTGTTGAAGGATAGATTTTGACATTTTTAGGGATTGGGAGTGGAGAAGCAGTATAAGAGAGGATTAAGAGAGAGAATTGGGGTTAATGGGTTCTGTGGAGAGTATTAAATATTATTATTGTCCTTGCAATATAAAAGCTTCTTCAAAGACCAATCATCGGATCTCAATCTCAGTAATAAGAACTCAACAACTTGAGGGGTCTATGCAATATGTCATAATCTTGATTTTGGGTGAGAATACTAGTCCTCTGCATTTGGCTTATGGTAGGCTTCTTCATAGGCATATGTACTGAGTTCATTTCCTGCACATTTGTCATAGGCAATTGAGAGGAGGTATTTGGCTGATTATCAGTCCAGCCTTCACTTTTGATAGGCATAATGTTGATAAGCACATTTTGATGAGGACTAATTCTTATCTCTCCTGAAGCTGTAGTCGATACATCACAACCAACAGCTGATTCAATAGCTGCTCCTTTAATAATAACTTCATCTTTATGTAAAGATAGAATGATCTTTGACTTCGATACTTCTTGGCTTTTATGATTAAGGAGCTTAGCTCTTGAAGTCACAGTTGCTGGTTCTTTTACTATCTCTTGTTTTGCTCTACAAAGTAAAGATGAGTCATAAAGCAATTTTTATTTAGAATAAAAGAAGCTACAGAACACTCTGAGTGAGATGTCTTAAAAGGGTTCTAAAAGATATAAAGTATGCAAAATGTTAGTTGTCCTGACTTTTGGTGCTGTATAGATTGCCTTACCTCTTGACTTTGTTAATTGAAAACACTTTTGTGTGACTATGAATACTGGATAAGTCATCTCCGCTGGAGTTAAGTTCATCCAAACTTTTCTGTAAATGCTTTAAATCTCTCTTTTTGAGAAGAAAACTATCTTGGTTATTAGAATTAAAGCTGGAAGAAGAGTTTCCTGTCTCTTTGGATACTGAACTTGAGAGTAATTTGTCTCCCTGACTCGTTGGGTGTTCTCTTCGCTGATCTATTGTCTTGCCATTCTGAGTAGGTTTATCTTTCTTGAACATTAAATTCTCGCACTTGTTGTTTTTAATGTATTCTGAAGGGTTTGAAATACCGTAATTTTTCTTTATCAGATGAAGATATCTTCTCATGTGTCTTTTTATCTGAAGCCTCTTTCTAGTGGGAACCTACATCGGTAAGGAAATCAGATAAAGAACAGGACTTACCATTTTCTTAAGCATTGGCCAGTTAATTCCATGAGTTTTTAGTCCTAAAAAGTCAGAAATTAACTTACAGTTTATAAACTGAGAGTGCTCTTCTTGAGTCCATTTGCCATTTTTGAAGCCTCTTAGCCATGAAAATACTTCTGTCTACAGTAAATTAGTAAGCAATCAACCATGGAATTATCATGATGTGAGCTTGAAAAAGCCATATATGAGAAAATTGAGTCATATTTTAAACTATAGCTTACTTTTTCTTGATTTTGTTGGTTATCCATCTGTAATCTACTTTTACTAAAAAATTCTAAACCAAATTTTCAGAAAAAAAATCAGTTCTAATAGAAATTAACTTAAAGAAATATGTTCGAGATAGATAGAAACTGCTTCAGAGCAATGAGGTATTTGGGAGGTTAATGATGAACTTATCAAGAGATCCTCAGCCTTGACCTAATTTTGGGTACAAGTGAAATATTGTGAAATTTATAGGAAAGCACTGAAGAATCTTCTCTACTATAACCTCTACAGCTATATCCTATGCCTTCTAGTATTAGAGGTGGTCTATTATCACACTAAGGTCTTATCTATCAGCATGGTTGACCCGTGAATTGAGTATTTATTGCACCTGAAATCTCTAACAGCAGTGGACACTTGTAGGATGTTGATATTGACATCTCACACTTCAACTTGCTTTTAATACTAATTGAGTGGCATCAACAAATCTAATTGGCTAATTTCTAGTTATTTTAATACTTTAAAGTACGAAAATGTCTACAATACCACCTCTGGCCTAAGAGAACCAATTCAACTTTGAGCTTTTAAGATAAAAGTTTCACGGTTTAATTTTAATTTAGCTCATTTTTAAAGATTCCTTGTGAAATTTTAAGGATATGTTGTTTTTATAATTATGGGACCCTAGGAGAAGTAATTTTATGCAAATTTCAACCTTGGTCTCAGACCTTGCTGATGTGCATACAGGGTGTTGGTAACTTATGCATTGATGCTAACATACTTTCAGAATTTTTAGACTCTTGGATGATATTGATCATTTTTATCATCCAGATCTTTAAAATTATTACTATTAAATTGAAGAGAGGATCTTTTTGTATTAAAAGCATCAGCACTAAAGATGGCAAACAAAGTGAATGTATATCAGAAAAATTAAGTAGTAATTATTGAAGCTCTTTAAAGAAGCCTCATCGCTGCTTTATGAGGGCAAACATTATTGTTTTGAAGATAACTTGAAGTGGTAATATAATTTAATTTCAAATATGAAAAATCTGAGAAGAAGCGCAAATAATATTTTAACAACCAACTTCCTAGCGAAATAGAAGCCAATGAAGCATATAACAACTCCAATTAAAGTAGGCTTTGCAAAAGCTTCTGAAATTTTTGAACTTAACTTAACTAATTAAAGAAATTTCTTTTCATAGTAATATTCAATTATGCTAGAAGTCTTAAACGATAAAATATGAATATTATGCTATCACAAAGCCCTAAATGAAGTTGTTGGCGCTCACAAAGATGACTATAACAAAAGCAAAGCATGGAAGAGCATATCTATACCACAAAACAAGCAATCTCATATTAAATAGAAAACACAGAAATCCAAACCAGATATGAATTTTAATCCATAAGGTCTAAAAGCACCCAGACACCCTATACTCTCTCTTAACCCTACGACTACCTTTCCACCCACTATAGCAGCCAATCCCACAACAGTGTCTAAAATATCTTAAAATTACATACATTTACTAATTTCTAGCAGCAAAAGATTCCCTGAAACCCCATCCCTACTCTATCTCCCCTCTTAAAACGCTCAAAACCCCTCAGATTTATCATAACCTCACTCTTAAGCCAAGTTTCGGCCCTTTTTGGTTGCTAAAAACCTGTTTTCACCGGGAATTTTACCATAAGAATGCCACATTTACTTACTCTTTTTATTTAATTCAATATTTTTCGATCTGGAAGGGGTTTTGGGGTTTTGGGGTTTTGGGGTTTTGGGGTTTTGGGGTTTTGGGG